TATTTTACTTGTCTAACATAAAATATAAACTCAAAATTCTTTTTATAGTAAGAAAATAAATTTATTATTTTATAATTTAAACTATAAAATATAAATTTTTAAATAAAAAAGACCTCTAATATTAAAATTTTATCCTTTATTCAAGGATTAATATTTAAAGATTCAAATTGTAAAAAATAGTTCTTCCCAAAAATAAATTTACCTCCAAACTATTTAAATCTAAAAACACTTCAAACAAAAATTACTCCATAATTTAAACCAAATACAGTGCACCTCCCTCTCGTTGGCACTTTGCAGGTTTCCGATCCAATATTCGATTCCCTCTGCGTCTTAAAAAATTTACTGAAAAAAAGAGAGAAAATTTTCTTTTATAAGAAACTAATAAAGGTAGTAAATATATTATTATGATTTTTTCAATTTACATTTCACAAATTAAAGATGTATTAATTATATTTTTATAATAAAATATTAAAATATATATCATTTTAATATTAATATTATATAAATAATTTTAAATAAATTTAAAATAACTTTATACAAATTACTAAAAAAAAAGTGTGATGGATGAACCCTGTTACAAGTACTTATCGGAGATAAATGACTTATTAATATGAATAAAAATAATTTAATTTTTTAAAATAAAGTGTTATGGATGAACCCTATTATAAGTATTGATCGGAGGTAAATGATTTATTAATATGAATAAAAAGAATTTAATTTTTTAAAATAAAGTGTTAAATTTAAATTTTATAAAAAATAAAAATAAATGTTAAGAGGTTTTGTTTTTAAAAGTTTTAATTTGATTTAATTTTAAATTAATTAAAATTTAATATAATTTTTAAATACGAAAAAAATTAAAAAAAAAAGTGAAAAAAGCTTAGGACCCCAGTCTACTAAACTCTTTAATACATCTCACCCGCATAATAAATATTGTATTTTATTTATCATTAAAGTCGCGTGTAAATTAAGTTAAGATTCCACAAAAAAAAAAAAAAAACTAATAATAATAATAATAATTGTTGTCCCCAGCCACACGTGACTCTGTCCGTGGACCCCACTGCGCCCACACAACGCCACCTGAAATCAACTTTCCCCATGAATCGCGAGACCTGCTGTGCTGCTGCCCATCTAATCACCACCTCCATCATATATTCCTTCACTCGCCACGTGCACCTTTAACCATGGTTTGGTTAAGCCTTTAAACACCTCCCCCATAATTATTACTTCTACTAATCATATCTATCTTCGTGCCCCCCCAAAACATTTTTTTTACTGCAATCCCACGGTCACGGTTGTTGCTCATTATAATAATTATTTTTTTCCTTATCAATTAGCATACTCGAAGGCCCCAAGACGGTCAAATTAGACCTTTCGTTTTTTCCAAATTAACTTTGCTGCTTACCCATAATTTTTTTTTTAAAAAAAACTTAAATTATCTTGAAATAGCAATTAATAATTCAAAAAATAAGATAAATAATCCTCTTCGAATTAATTAAAGGAGGTTGGTTGTGCTCTCTAATATTGCAAAATTTTAAGATCTCAATTATATAATAAGACAACTCTTAATTAGAAAAATCATTCTTTAGTTGGAGCATATTTTAGAACTTAGAAAAAAAAGGGCTTTTAAGATTCTTTCACTTGTGTCAATGATCTTATTAATTCAACATTAATTTTTGTTTTCTTAAAAATAAGAAATTTTAAAATTAAATCATATGATACGTGAATAGGGTAAATTAAAAGATAAAAAAAGTTATTTTTCATTGTATAATTATAGTAAAAAGAAATTCTTTCACTTGTTAAAACTTAAATTTAATTTGAATCGCAGGTGGACAGACTAACATTAACTGCAATGTTTTTAAGAAAGGTAAATTGAACATTTACTTAGAAAAAGTTTGGGGTAAATTGACAGTAAAAAAAGGTTTGGAGAAAAAGGTCATAGATGTTTAAACATCAAGGACACGGAAATAGTTTTCTCTTTTATTAAGCACTATAAAAAGTGCCACAGCACACTCTAGCCAGCTTCTGTCAGCTCGGTTGTCGAGCCAAAGAACAAAACCCCTAATCCCTTCCTTTTCTCCTCTGGAAATCGCACGCGTTTCGGTGTTGATTGGTCTTCCGTCTCCGGCTCCGCCATCCGTCTTCTTCTGAGGTGAAAACACTTCTTCATCGAGCCTGGTTTTTGCGATGAAATTGTGTTTTTTCATGCTTTTTTTGTTCATAGATTTTCGTACTGTAAATGAGACCGAAAACGATTGATTTCTCTCTTTTCTGCTCCTTTATGTCGTAATCGATCTTCTTCTGCAATTTTTTTCTCTTTAAATCCGTTTCGGATGCATAAATGTGTTTCTTCATGTTTGTTTCGGATTACTGCATCGATTTCTCTGTTTTCTTCGTCGTTTCTGGTCCATGATCTCCTCTGCAAGTTTTGTCTCTTCAAATCCGCTTTGTTTTTGCAAAAAAAAGGCCAATGTAATGCTTCTGTGATTCTGTCCTGTTGTTGTGTGATGAGTACCGTACGGTCTCTGCTTTTGTCGACTGCTTTCCGGCAGTAAATTCCGCTGCGACTTTTGTTTTCTTCATTTTCTCGGGAAAATATTCACTAGAAAGCGGTGGATTGTTGTCTACGCTCTCTCATACTGCCTTTTCCTTTTAATCAGAAACATCTCTTTCGCTGGTTTCAAGAACTACTACTTTTTGAGCGCTTCGTTCCTTGAGGAGGAAGGAGAGAAAATGGTCCGATATTAGTCATTGACTCATTGTTTTCGAAGTCCGCGTTATCTTTTCCTCTTTTGTGCTTCGTCTACGGGAGGTTTAGGTCTGCAACTCATCGCCGTCGTTTTGGCCATTTTTAGCCTTAACACTCATGAGGCCTACTGGTTTTTTTAATTTCTAGACTCTTCTTTTTCTTCAAGTCAAATCTGAATCGCTACTTCCTGATCTGACGGTTGTTTTCTTATTTCATTTTTTAAGGCTTTTTTTCCTCTGTTTGATGGATGTGATTTGATGTATAAAACGGCATTAACTCAGTCTTTGATGCAGATTTCCAGTATCTGAAGGTACGATTCAATACTCGGTTTCCATGGCGGTTTGACGTACCTTCCGAGTCGTGACTCACTGATTTCGCGAAGCGAGTCCAAGAGTCAACTGCCTTACTTTTCCAATTTTTTTGGTTGCGGAGGGACAATAAACTCGGCGAGTTTTAAGGCTTCTTTTCCAGCACTCGAGAGAATTTTTAGGGATTCTGCGTCATTTCCTCTCACACCAATGAGTTGGCGGTTTGGGTCGATACGGATCTTGCTTACGCTCGCTGTAGCTTTCCTACTCGTTATGCTTCTTCTATCAGGTTCGTGCCTTACATGGATGCCTACATTTGAAACATTCCTGATTTCTTTAATGTTTCCATTTGTTCGAGGGATTAACCTCTGTTTCAGAGTCCCGGGACGGTGGGGTTTGGGAAGGAGTTGTTGGTGATTTTTTTAATTCCCTCTGTTTTGTCACTTTTCGTTTCTCTATATATTCAATTTTTTTTGGAATTTCTTCCATTTTCTCATGGTTATTCGATCGGAATTTTCGTTACAGTTCTGGGTAGGGATAACCGCAGCACCGTTGGGTTGAATCTACTGAGGATTCAGGAAGAGAACGCAACACTCTCCATTCCCCACCGCAAACTTCTTCGTGGTATGGGATTACTATTTCACTCGTATCTTGTCAAAATTATGAATAATTCTACTTATGATGGGATGGCAAACAAAGGGGTAATAGAAAACGCAGAAGTAATTTCATTTTCTGGTTGTTCGCCCTGTGGGTGCTCTGGGTCTGTTATGCTGTTTCTTGTCTTTGTATGGGGGCTCCTGAGACAGCCGGTCTATGATAACAGCTTTTGTTTGCGAGCGTGCTTTTGCAGCGTTGATCCACTACCTACTAGTACGTTTCTAGTGCCATCTAAGGTTCACGTCTGGGGTATTTTCTGTTATGCTACGCTATCGTGCACCAGTTGCCAACTGGGCCCCTTTTTATGCCCCCAAGATTCAATTACTGTTTAGTATCTGTGTGATGGGGTCCTGCTATCCCCTCAAGTTTCATGACTATCTTTTAGGATTTTTTTTTTTATAATGTGAGGGTGAAACTCCAACAATGCGCTCTTATTAAAGTGATACGAATTTTTTACAAAATATAAGTGATTATTTGGCCATAAGAACTTCTTAAACATCTTTTAGGACTTTGATCTTTGAAATCCTAGCATTTTAAACCGCTCTGTGTCTAATAGATGGTGTTTTAGCGACTTATATAAAATTAGAAAATGTGTTGTCTGGGTTAGCTCAAACCTGTGATTGAATTTTTAATTTTCAGTATACAGGGGTATTAGCAAATTTTTGGGCCGAAGGAATATATATACGTAAAGAGTTCAAAAGTGAAATGACACATGTATGGAAAGTTAAAGCATGATACGTCTTATCCCAAACCTCTTGGCTTAATTTTGTCTGTTTCTTTACCCTTTAATTCCTGTCAATGGCCTCTTAAAAGTGTATTTTGTCTGTAGGCGTTCCCCCTAGTGGTGGGTTGGGTGGGTTTCCACATTACTTTTGTTTATGTTCTGTAAAGTAAAAATTTGCTGTTGTCTTCTTTTTCTTTAACATTATTTATTTATATTATGCTTTAAAGTGGACAAGTTTTGGATGTTAATTATTACCCTTCCACCATCGAAATTTAATGGAAAAGTGAAAAGTCACTTATCTTTTGTCTTTTGTTTGCTCTTTCACGCAGAGATAGCGATGGACGAACCCAACCGTATTTGGGGAGAGAAGTGTACGAAGGCTGACATAGTAATAAACCAGGGACCCACGGAACCACTCCCTAGCGGAGTTCCCACTTACACTGTTGAGATTATCAACGTGTGTGTCACTGGCTGCGACATCTCCGGAATTCACCTAAGCTGTGGTTGGTTTAGCTCTGCACGCCTCATTAACCCCAAAATTTTCAAGCGCCTTCGCTACAATGACTGCCTTGTTAACGATGGCAAGCCTTTAGTTAATGGTGGTACTCTCTCCTTCCAATATGCCAATACCTTCCTATACCCTCTTTCAGTTTCCCATGTAGTGTGTTCTTAGTATTAGTAACATCACAAGCAGACGATATAAGGCACTGGAAGCAGGACAAAACGCTAGTTAAAAATATACTTGATATCCGATACCTTGGACAGTAGGGTGGTATCTTTGCGGTTCCGCTTTGGCTTTATGCCGTGATTGCTTTGTGTCTTTCTGGGAGAATTGGGAGGTTGGATCGTTGATATGCTGTAAAGGGTTTCTTTTTGTGAATTGATCAGATACGAGGGAATTGAAATTGGTCAAGGAGATTTAGTTGGTGTGGGTGATACTGAATTTTTGTGGCTATTGTACATAACTCAAACATTGCTGTGATTGGAATAGATTGTAGGTTGGGGCTACCGTACGCTTGAATTGATACTGTGATTAGAGGTTGTTTCTTGTCGCTTTCTTTTGTTGCTTTCGAGAATGTGAAGGAAAGATTTTAGTATTTTTGCGATCGGTATTATTGCCACATGGTGGACATTGCTCGTCTTTAATTCTTTAGGCTGCTACCTCACTATCAAAAAGAAAACTAAAAAAAAAAAATATTTATACCTTGGTGGTTGGTGGAACAATTTTAGCCAAAGAATGGTTCTCGATTGCAACCTTACAGTACGATTTATTGGTGGCCGACTTGAAAATTACCTCCGAGATCCCATACCCCAAATTCCGTCTTCAGAAAAAAAAAAAAAAAAGGAAAGAAGAGTCCCTATGAGATCAGGTATCGCTCTGAGTACTGTTATCTAACTTCGGGCCAAGGCCCAAACGGCAGCAAAACCTGGGCCTTTCATCCATTTCCCTAGGAAATAAAATAAATGGGTCATGAGGTTACTATTGATAAACCCGAAATCTGGTCGGATGGCCGCCCTTTCTTACAATTTTACCTTTTTTCTTATCCTCTTTCCTCTCAAGGTTGACAGGACAGCGATAGAGAGGAAGAAGAGGAAGCAGAAATGGCGGCAACAATCAACGGCGTCGGTGTTGGGCTAGGGCTTCGATTTTATTCAAAGCTTGCAAAACGAGTCCCTTCTCGGTCCTCTAGTTTTCGTGTGAATATGGCGGTCTCAGTTGGAGACCAGAAAAAGACTTTCTCTCTTGAAAAATCGGAAGAAGCTTTCAATGCCGCCAAGGTAGTATTATTATTTTTTCTTCCTTCACCCTTTTCGCTTCCTTTTTTCTGATCTTATTTGGTAGTTTGAATCTAGATTTTGATGATCAACCTTTTGTTGCTTGTTTGAATTAAAAATTCCATACTGATTCTGTTGGGTAAAGGATGGAATCTGATGAAAACGGTTTTGAAATTCTTCTGAATTTGTTAACTTTGAATGAGTTTCAATAGTAAATTAATGAGTTAAATCAATATGGTATAAGATTGACTTTTTTCTCAGTTTTAAATTTTACTTGTATGGAAACCTCTCGTGACAAGTTGTTGAATACCTTCATTACAGGTAGAAAATTTAGAGATGTATTTGTATTAAAAAGTGGGGTGAGTGGCTCAGTGGTTCTTTTCTCGGGACTAGAAGTTGAGAATGGTTTTTTGGATTCAGTAATCTGGTAGTGTATTTTTATGTTTCAATTATACAGTTCTTTTTTGTCCCAAAAAAATTATGATTTTAGTCAGTTTAGTAGTTACCAGGCCCCATTGTACTTAGTGTGGCAATGAGAAAAGCATATACTGGGCTTTCATGTTTATAGGAAATATATTAATTGAGCAGAATTTGAATCATATGTAAATGAATAATTTTTCTTATATAAATATAAGAAAGGTTGGAATTCATGTGAGGGAATGGTGAAATCTACATGATGCTTGGTGGGGTGTTGATAATTTTATTTTAGGTTCATATATCTACTCAAAAGAGGAAGGGGGTGTTGCGGGATGGTGGTTAAGGTGAAGTGTCAAATTGAAATTATATGTTAACCTTTTCCTTTATTGGCCAATTTGAACTTTGGCAGTTGCTGTATTGCTTCTTTCAGTGTCTACTGAAATCTCCTGCCCCTCGCTATTTTTCTTATTATGTTGAATGACATAATTTTTTTGAACTTTTCACTTATTGACCCTTAGTCTACTTGTTTTGTTGATCTCAGAATTTGATGCCTGGAGGTGTGAATTCCCCTGTCCGTGCATTTAAATCTGTTGGTGGACAACCAATTGTGATGGATTCTGTCAAGGGCTCTTACATGTGGGACATAGATGGGAACAAGTATATCGACTATGTTGGCTCTTGGGGACCAGCAATAATTGGTCATGCAGATGACGAGGTATTATTACCATGGAACTCAGTGATGGCATGCTTTAGTTGACGTTACTTAGCCAATGTAGGAACTATTGGTTGCTATACTTTGCCTGATATTCATTGAATAGTTTGTGTCTAATGGTTTTTGACTAACATTTATACACAGGTGCTTGCAGCCCTGGCTGAAACAATGAAAAAAGGAACCAGTTTTGGTGCACCTTGTCTTCTAGAGAATACTCTGGCAGAGATGGTAATCTCAGCTGTCCCAAGCATTGAAATGGTTCGTTTTGTAAACTCTGGTACAGAAGCATGCATGGGTGTGCTCCGTTTGGCCCGTGCTTTCACTGGCCGTGAGAAAATCATCAAGTTTGAGGGTTGTTACCATGGCCATGCTGATCCATTCCTTGTCAAAGCAGGTAGTGGGGTTGCCACCCTTGGTCTACCTGACTCCCCTGGTGTCCCCAGGGCAGCGACCTTTGAAACTTTGACTGCCCCATTCAATGATCTTGCAGCTGTTGAAAAAATCTTTGAATCTAACAAAGGAGAGCTTGCTGCAGTTATTCTTGAACCTGTTGTTGGAAACTCTGGTTTCATTGCTCCTAAACCTGACTTTCTTGAGGCTTTACGACAGATCACTAAGGAAAATGGTGCTCTCCTTGTCTTTGATGAAGTGATGACTGGATTTCGTTTGTCTTACGGTGGGGCTCAAGAGTATTTTGGTATTACTCCTGATTTAACAACTCTAGGAAAGATCATTGGTGGGGGCCTGCCAGTTGGTGCATATGGAGGAAGGAGGGAGATTATGGAAATGGTGGCACCAGCAGGACCAATGTACCAGGCTGGGACCTTGAGTGGGAACCCACTGGCAATGACAGCTGGGATACACACTCTTAAGCGGTTGCAGTCACCAGGAGCTTATGAATATCTGAATAAGATCACTGGTGAACTTGTTGAAGGCATTATAAATGCTGGAAAGAAAACTGGACATGCAATTTGTGGTGGGTATATCAGTGGGATGTTTGGCTTTTTCTTCACAGAAGGCCCTGTTTATAACTTTGATGATGCAAAGAAGAGTGATACTGCAAAGTTTGCAAGGTTTTTTAGGGGAATGTTGGAGGAAGGTGTTTACTTTGCACCTTCACAGTTTGAGGCTGGATTTACCAGTTTGGCGCATTCTTCTGAAGATATCCAAAATACAATTGCAGCAGCTGAAAAGGTTCTAAGGGAAATTTAGATTGTGCATGCTGTATCTCTACTTTCCTTCTCCCCTCCCCCCCCTCTCTCTTCTTTCTTTCTTTCTGTTCTCTTGCAACATTACCATTTTGCATGTTAATTGGCGGCTGCTTTGTAGTCAGTTCTTCTGAGTTTCTGTATTAGAATGTGCTATTTAGTTGTGAAGAAAAAACTATGTTGTTTATCACACCATTCAAGTTCATTATCTTCTAATAAAGTCTGCTTGTTATCTCAACTGTTGTTTGTTTTTGTAATCCTTTAATTGATCCATTGCCTGAACTTTATAGGTGCATCTTTGCAGAAGTAATTTAGTCCGTTATTGTTTGCTCTCTCTCTCTCTCTCTCTCTCTCCCCCTCCTTCTCCTCCTCCTCCTCCTCCATTTTTCATTTTTTTTTTCCTGTTGGAACATGCATGTTAACGATCATAAATAATGCATGAAAAAGTCGAGTCTTTTTAGAAACAAAAAGTAAAATACATTACATGCAACCAACAAATTCATCGTTAATACATAGGCTTTTACACAGGCATTTTCTCCCTAAATTTTGATGGGGATTTGTCTTTGACATGTGATGTAGTCTATACAGCTTTACAAATGTTTCAAACATTTGAAAACAACTGAAACACAGAAGAAATGGAGCAATTTGAAAAACAAAAAGCATCCTCTCCACTCCTAAATACTTGTACACATGAATTTTGTTTCCACAAACAAACATGGAATTCTGGGCAACATTGTTTCCATGCCAAACGCTTTGGTACCAGGATAAACAATTCTTCAAATCTACACTTTTCGTCTTCACAATATGGAACATTGGCAAACAATTTTTCTGGGTGAATCATCAATCTTCTTTTCTGCTGACATAAACCACCAAACACAAGTCAGAATGTATGTACACACGTGTGCAAAGGCAGGCCTATATCCATGCAGGATTGTGTTATCAACCATCCATGCAAAATACTCCTGCTTTGGGTTTCGTCTTGTGTGGTGGCATTTGTTGGATCCCCAAAGACAGGAACTCAACAGACAAGCAAATACTTCTGGGACAGCTGTGCCCCATATGAAAACATGAATGCTATTTTTCCATCAAGTTGCCCCACTTACAGAGGGCTCTATTGAATATCATGTTGAAAGAACATACATATTATTGAGGTTGGACAGTGGTATATACATTAATGACCTTCCAAGATGTTACAACCCATAGTAACTAATAACTTTAAGGTTCATGGTTGACTAGAACTTAAAGATGGTTTATGAACATGGCGGACAACTTTCATCCAAGGAGATAGATGAATATCAAGTGCCAAGCAAAATGCATTAACTACTTAAATCCTGTAAGTTCAAGGATATGCAAATGCATATTCCAAGCACATTTTTATCACTACAAAACTGGACTGGGTAATTTGTTTGATGTTTGAAAATGGTTCAAACCAAGCTAATATGATCAATAAGTAAAACATTATTGAAAGAAAACTCAAAGTTTGGAAAGAGAAAGGATCGCTACCAAGTAGATAATACTTCCAACAGTAAGGAACAAATTGTTTAGACTGTATAATGATTCTCATGGTATGGTAAACCAATCAGCCATGACAAGTACAAACTTTACGTTAAATAATTAAAAGCTCCATCAGTAACAGGAACATTTAATACAGATTAGAGTTAGAACATTGCAAATTGTCCATTTAAGATTGGATATCACCTGCTAATAATTACCATGTCTCTAAAATTAGCCATTAGCACTATGATGTGCAAGTATGGAACATCAAAATTTATGTCGTCTTGAGATCCATTTTGGCAATTAGGTTAAGCTTCAATGTCAATGGAAATGATGTTTTCATCATGTTAAAATAATTCAGATCACGATGAATATAAGAAAATTACCTGTTTTAGTTTTTGCAAGAGATGGCTGTACAACAACATGCATTACGACAACACCACCGCCAACCTCACCCAAAGGTCCTTTACACTGACCAACAGTCTTGCTATTCTCCAGAATTTTTCCAGAGCTGATAAGTTTGACTTCATTCACTGCCTTTGGGGCAATTGTCTTACCTAAAACAGAATAAAGAGCATTTAAGGAAGTCAGAATATAAATTCGCATTTGCAATTGCACAAAAATGAATATTTATCTCATAAGCTCAGTGAAAAACTCTGGCAAATCTTGACAATTTCCATTTGCTCTTACATGTTTTATGCATGTATAAACAGTAGAGTAGAAGTCCAAAGATTATAGCAACAGAGATAAAAAAGACAGCTCTAGATGATTGTTCTCTTCAAGGTATCCTTAAGTTTCTAATTCTACATACTACAGTTTCTTTTACAACATTTCTTAAATCTTACAGGTCTCCCACTCCAAGAGTGAGTTTACAAAGCACATTTGCAGTCAAATTATTCTGAAATATTTGTTAAATAATCACAATAAAGATGGAAGAAGAAAAACTCCCACAATGGCCATGATAATTCCCATAAATATTTGGCATCTATATAGCGAATCTAGTATTTACTAGAAGACATACTTTCAAGAGATACCAATTATTTCCTAAATTATCCACTCGCTTGCATTATTCACATTGATATCACTCTAATGCAGCTAGTGACACAAAAAACCAAATGGATGGATGACCACCTCCCCAGCCCCTACACCAAGCCATCAGTATAGATAATCATTTTTGGAAGAAGCTACAAATACTATTTTGCTTCGAAAAATACAAAGCCTGCAGTTCCATGAGCAAAACAACATCATGGACCACAAAACAACCACTCTGTACCATTTCATTACAACCTTTCAGCACTGTTCTACTGTCCTTCATTAATATTTTGTTTACTTAGACAAATTACCTTAAAATTAAATCACCAAAACTCAAATAAAACCAATACAAAGAGGGTAGCTGATAAACCTTTGGGCCAGTCAGAGACGATTCTCTGCTTAAGCATATCGACGGTCGACGTTGAAGAGTACCGGAACGGACCAATGTCCGACCCATCATATAACCTGAACTTTATATCTACCAATTCCTCCTCCGGCATTTCCGTAACCTTCTCGGCTTCTCCTCCTCTATCCAGCAATCAGCTGCGGCGGTTATTCTACAAATCGATCAAAACCCAGTTCATCAAATTGACTATGGCCAACGAATTTCTACACACCAAAACAAAATTAGAAGTCGGAAACCTAGAAAAAAAGATTGGATTTTGAAACAACTATGAAACTTAAAACCGAAAAATTCAACGAAATTCAAAATGAAAAACCTGAAAATTTTCGCAGTAGTTGAGGAATCAAGAATCCGTCTTGAATGGGTATTTGGAAAGATTGGTGTTTGTTGGTGAGCTGAAGAAGACTAATAGGTCTCGCCTGCTCCAAAAGCCAACCCCGTCACCAATACGACGACGTTTCTGTTGCTTCTTCCTTTCCAAAGTAGTGTGAACGTCTCTGTCTTTATTCCTACTCCACACTCTTTACTCCACTGAGACGACGACGTTTCCGGGTTCTGATCCTCCTCGTCTTCTTCTCCGGCGGGAATGCAGAAAACAATGAAGAGAAAACGAGAAGCGGAAGAAGGAGAGAGGAAGAAGAACATGGAGATTGTTTGGGAAACTCCGGCGAATCCTCCTCAGAAACAGGACTACATCTTTCGTAACGGTAAGTAAAAATTTTCAGAAAAATCGAACTTTTCCGACTTCAGATTAGTTCGAAACATTGAAATCCAACTTTTGGCGGCGGGAATTTTGTAGGGAAGCGCTACGTCAGACCTTACTACTTCGAGTTCATTTCTCATGTTAGTTCTTCCTTCGAGAATCCAATATATATATAGATATATATAGATATATATTTTGGTTAACAAAGGATAAACTCTAATTAAACCCTAGGATTGCTTGCTCAGGTTAACAAACGGTGGGAAGGGAAAACAATCGTGGATTTATTTGCGCAAGAGTTCAGAGGCCGTCCTTATGAGTACTATGTAATTTGCTTTTGGGATATTGATCTGTTTCATGATTTCATTATAATTCATATAAAGTTTTCATTTTTTTGGGGTGATGTTGTTCAATATTGTAGGTTAGTGCAGTCAAAAGTGGACGGATACAAGTAGATGGAGAGATTGTGCCAGTTTCATATATAGTTAAACGTACACAGAAGATAAGCCACTTCTTACACAGGTGAAGTTTTTGCTCATTGCTGTTCTGATATATTTTAAAGTTATAGAACTTGTTGTTGATGTGACAAATGTTGTAGGCATGAACCACCCGTGATGGCTTCCACTGTCACGATTCTTGAGAAGGAACCGGATGTATTAACAGTTTGCAAACCAGCATCTGTTCCTGTAAGTCTCTTGTCATTTGTATGTTCTGCATTTTGTGTGGCGAGTGTATTTGATAGTTGGAAATCATGGCTTTCTCTTTTTTCTGTGAATAGGTCTTTTACCATGTAAAATGGTAAAATTTACTTGTAAAACTATTTGTGTGCAAAACGTGATATTCATTGCAAGGAGTGATTATGGAATATGACCACAAATAATGTAGTTTTAGTGTATTTAAGTGTTTTTAATTATCTCTAGAATCTGGATCAGCAAATTGATCTCTCCCTCACTGATGTGTATGCATGAGTGTCACAATGTTCAAGCATCACAAACTATTAACTTAGGTCTTGGTTTAACATGTTAACAGTGAAAGATCCCCATTAACTTTGGAGGCAGTATAGATTTCACTTATTCCATGTTTTCCTTTCTAGTATATTTGTTGAAGATAAAACACAAATGACCTAACAGATATATCTAACAAAATCAGACTTGCACTCACTTCTCTTATAGCCAAATTGTGGAATATGAAGATCATGAAACTTGCTTCCATTCCATTTATCATGAGGTTCTTGGGTTGATTTCTGAGAGTTTTCCCTGTTGAGTTTATCAGTTTCAATGAAACATGCATCCTCAATTTATTTTAATTCACCAAAGGCCAAAAGCTCCTACAGTTAATAGAATATTAAAGTTTTCTGATCAACCAACTTGTATATTTTGTTCTTAGCAAGCCATGAAAGTTGAACCTTTGTGCTTCTATTGATAGGGGGAGCAGTAGTCTATTGCCTCTCCAGCAATCTGATTTCTTAATCTCTATAACTTTTTTGTGGGATTTAAGTTGTCAATTCTTACTATTTTAGGTGCATCCATGTGGTCAATATCGTAAAAACACAGTCGTTGGCATTCTCCAGGCAGAACGTGACCTGGCACCTCTACTTCGTATCCTAATCCAATACATTTTGAAGCAAACATGTAGAGTTTTTATTCTGGAGACTATTTTTGTAGTTTTGTAAACAAAATTTTCTTTGACAATTGGTTTTGAACACATTAAATCTAGCTCTTTTTTCTGCTTTGTTTGCCATTTTTACCTGCTGAAGTTCTGCAATCAGCAGATTTTGTTTTTCCCTTGACATAATCATTTCAGCTATTCATCGACTGGATCGTCTTGTCTCTGGACTACTTATCTTCGCCAGAAATCCTGCTAAAGCTGACTTTTTTAGGCAACAGGTAAGCCTTGCACAAATTCCTCTTGGAGGATAGAATGAGAGAAAGATATTTTTCCCCTAATTTTATCAAAATGATATCTGTATCAGTTGCTTTCTGTTTGCTCTTGGTGCTTAGGGATACATCTTTATTGAAATTGCATAAAGTTGGTTTTAATAATTTAATCACATGGGTACATGCTTGCATTGTCTACATAATCATTGTATAAATTTTAAGAAAATGATGTCTTGGATAGTGTGTTCTTTTTTTCTAGGGTAAAATTTCTATCTTCTAAATGTTGTATTTTCATCAGAAGTTAAGAGTTTCTTTATGTACAATACAAATCATATGGTACTTGGTATGTATTTTGTTTTCCAAATAAAGGTTTTTTGTCTGATTGTTGAATGTAATTTGTGCAGATTGAAGCTGGAATGGTGAAGAAACAATATGTAGCAAAGGTCATTGGGGTTTTTCCTGACAGTGAGGTATATGCTCTTGTAAATTGGATAGTTGACATACTTACTATTTAAATTTAATTGACTCTATTCTATCATAAAAAATGATGTGCTTGAACAGAAAGAGGGGTGGCTGGGTGGAGGGGAGAAAGGACAACTATTGAACGCTTCAGTTGTTGATTAATTAATTTTGTCTACTAGAATAACTGGTAACTAGGAAGCAACTAAAGTTATTTGCAAATTACAATTAATGGCATGAAAATGGAACATTGGTCCTTTTCTTCAAATAACAGAATTCTAGGCATGTTTGTTTGATGGAATGGCTATTTGTTGAACAAATTATGAAAAAAAGCTAATTTAAATAGAGATCAAAGCAAATAAGGATACCTATTCCATTGTTGTGCCAATTTTTTTTTCAAATAGGTTAAAACATGGAAGGAGGAAATTCAACATATCTCCTTAGGTCTTACCTGGTCCTTCCCTCTTCTAACTCATAAGAAAATTGATAAAAGCATGGAATAGTCATTCCTTGTTTGCCATTATATTTATCTAATTTGTGTTATTTCTATAGTTGGACCAAGGAATGAACACTCCATCTAACCAAACATGGTCTAAGAGTTTTCCAATCAACAGGAACACCTTTCCATTGAGTGATGTAGTGTTACAGATGCATATTATTAGGTACTGTCAAGGAGTATGTTCTGGCGGACTTAGTCTGCATTTATGGGAATAATTTCTCTCCAGTTTTTTTGTTCAAGAAACAGATCATAATTTCACTATTTATCTAATTTTACAATTACCCTTGAATAGGCATCTGACAGACATCTCTTTATTTGTGACAATTTCCTTTTTATGCAAAAAATAGAAATTTTGAATTCTTTTTTCTTTTACTTTTTTTTTTTTTTAATTTAGAAAATTGATTGATTCTAAAATAATCCAAAACACCACCCTGCCACCTTCCAAATCATTGTCAATCAGCTTCTATCTTTTAAATTCAGATTGTAGCTCAGAGAAGATAAGAAATAGTGGACAGCAAAAACTGCTGCTTTATGAAAGGAGTAACTTCCCCCATTTTCTCAGCTACTAAAAATCTGAAGTGTAACTTTTAGGTGAACAAAGTCAGGCACATTAATGTTTCTGGGGATTTTTGTTAAAAAATTGTATTAGTTCCAGTATTTGTTGTTAGTCAATGCTAATCAGTCATTTCAAGATAGAAACATTTTGCATTTGACTTTTCTGATGTTTTTTCTTCACAGCGAGTAGTTGATGCCAATGTAGATTATAATGCTAAAGAGGGAAGGAGCACCGCTGAGGTGAGTCTTTTTCTTCCATGCCCTCATTTTCTGTAATAATAGTTGCTGTTAGCCACGGGATGGAAGAGGAAAAGGAATGGTTTGGATGAATAGAATATGCACTTGTATTGTAGCATGCAAGAATAACATTGCATTGCATGCCTCTCTTTGGGCGTGCAAAGATTCAGACCAAAAAGACCTACATGGTCCCACTGAAATGCAGGATCTTTGGCACTTAGGCTATTGCTTGAGAACAAATCAAAAGGGAAAACTTTTCTTCTTATGGATATTTTAATGACTTTATGTTTTTCTTTCTATGGTAAAATGTGAATTTTCTTTTAGGTGTTTCTTATTATTGAACATCAAGATTCCAACAGAATGCTACTAGTTACCTTGCTTTAACCAATAGATCATAAACTTATATGTGCTTAGTTGTACATGAATTATTCCCCTCTCCAGTTAAACATTGTAGACTTCCCATGGAATAGCTATTTGTCAGCTAACTTGTTAAGGATTTATTTAAACAGAGGAAAGTGTCATGAGGTTATGCTGAATCCAATAGCATCTTCTGTTTTGATGCAGGTTGGCGTTTCTAATGATGATACTCCCTTGAAAGGAAAGGCCGCTTGTACAAAGTTTACTAGGATTAGTACCGATGGAACATATAGCATTGTCTTGTGTGAACCTGTCACTGGCCGAACTCATCAAGTAAGATGATGCATGATTTATCACCTTGGCTTGAGCTGTGCATTTTTAGCTTTTCATTCCTACTTACTGATTTCTGGGTCAATATTAAAACATGTTGTAGTTAGAGTCAGCTTTTCATTCTAAACCAACTCTTATTAATTTTTGGTTACTAAATGGTGTTAAATCCGTTATGTTTCAGTAACTGCTTATTTTTCTGACTGAAAACCTTTTTTCTGTGGTAGATACGTGTGCATTTGCAATATATAGGCCATCCAATAGCCAATGACATGCTCTATGTGTCTGAAAATGTTATTGATCGGTCTATTGAAGGAATGAGTGCTGATAGAGCTGCAGCTATTTCTCAAGGTTATCAAACAGTGAGTTTTAGCAAGAATCTTGAGGATGAAAACCAGTGTTCCAGCAAAGATTTCAGCATTGATCCTATGTGTTCACACTGTCCAAATTTAGCTCCAAATGGGTAAGATACTTGGAAGATTTTCAAGATAACAATTAAAATGATCATTTAGTTCTGTAGAAATTACAATGCTGTTTATGATATCATGCTCATTGTATTTCAGTGGCTTTTAGTCTTGTAATTAAAATGTTGGCTTTTAGTTGTGTAGAAATTACAATGCCGGTTTACCATCCACTTTCATCACAACGTGATTGGAGTCCATATAAAAGTCTCATCTGCCATTGTTTGTAAAAGCAAGAGTCTAAAGAACATAATGGGAAAGTCATCATCTGCTTGATCTAGGACCCTGTGACACTGTCTATGGCTGTTGTGCTAATTGTCTGCCATAAGGCCTGCAACTCCCATAAATATTGCTAGATGGTTAAAAATGAACATTTTAAAAAAAAGCTTTAAGGATCATTAGTGTCGTTAACCCCATGGTAGAAGATGCAGTTGGACTTAACTTTTAGTCATCAAAAGCTGTCTATGATGAGATTCATATTTCTTTTTAAAAAAATGAGGAGATTTCAAACACCAATGACTTCTTACTTTTGTGAGTTATCTATAGTTTATTTAGTTCAAAGTTGATGAAACAGCAAAAAATAAGAAAGCTGAATGGAAAACTTGCGTGTATTTGCTTTGATATGGTATCTTCTGATTGGTTTACTTGAAAGAAAATGGGAACTCTGCCCTAAGGATCTCTTTACTAAGTGCAGTTGCAGCAATTGGGAAAGTTAATAATCAGAAGCAATTTATTACAAATCTTTTATTGTTAGAGAGGTGGATTTTTTCTTATCATTGGAGTGGCTACATATGATTTTAGGGTGCTAACTCTCCCTCTAGCTTGAGGTGAAAGGCAGTTTTTCATTATTACTTTGAACTCAATGTTGATAGAGTTGATGAGTTGGGAAACTTAGTTGAGTTTTAACTAGCATCAGTGTTGTAAATAATCAGCATTGTAAATATTCTGCAACACAGTTAGAGTTGGTCATGTTCATGTTTGATCATCTTTGACTAGCATTAAACCAATTTTCTCTACATACTTAGTTCATATTTCCAAAGTTTTGAGTATTTCCAAGATTCTCAAAATTTGGGCTCCAACGATGTCCTTTCCAATGCAAGCAGATTCCTTCAGTCTTATTTAGTATCTGGTGGGTTCATTTTCAACTTCCTCATACTTCAGTTTTTGTTGTTGCAGATATGATGAGCATGAAGAGGGCTTATGGCTACATTGTGTTCGGTACTCTGGACCAGGATGGATTTATAAATGTCCATATCCTGACTGGGCATCGCTTAGCTAATTTCTTATCCCTTTACTTCCTGAAAAGAGTTGTGTTCTTTTCTTTTCTTATAATTTTTGAAAATTTTAAAGTTAAACCTTCTTTTGTTGGAAGAGAATTAATTTTCCCTTACGGAACAATATTCTTTACAAAGTAATGTTTAAATTGAAAATGTATAACTAATTAATGTTGGAATTCAAAGTCTATAACCATTGAGTATCTATTTAAAATTTCTTTAGTCTCCGATTGATAATGACTTTTCTTTCATCAGTTATAAACATTTTAAATGACTAAAATGCATGAAGACAGCACTGTTGTCATTCTGGTGCTGTAGGTATACTGAAGGATCTGGTTTCCTGCTAGAATCTATACTGTGTGTTAGGATAAACTGATTTCTGCTTCAAATTATTATGTGCACTTAACCTTACATTTTTCACATGATTTATAGTGCATCAGAGTTCAGACTTCAACAGTAGTAATTTCCATTATAAAGTGGAAGAAGTACTCACAAAGCATTGCCACTTTGCCATAACCCAATTGGATTCACAGGTTTGCATAGGTAAAACTCTCCTGATTATATCCATTTGGCATGTTCTTATTTAGTAAATTGACTTTCAGCCAGGTAGAAAATTGTCATGAACTTATTACTTTATCCTGCTTGTTTACAATCCTGGAAGGAGTTTTCTTACCCACTATTTCAGGTGAACTTTTTCATTTCAATCATTGGTTTAGTTAACAGTGATTATAACCCTTTGAAATGTCTTAATTTCTTGAACCCCATTTTTTATTGGTTGAATTAAAAGTTAAAGAAACATAAGTCCCCTTGGTTGTGATGTCACTTGCCATAAAAAACAGCCACAAAGTCAGAAAGTAGATGATAGCTTTAGGATGGAATTAGAATCTGAACGATCATGGAAGTTCCTGTTGAAGATTGACAATTAATGGAGTAAAGAGGCTTTTACAGTAGTGACTGCATCACCCAATTCTCTCTTTTTGGGGTCACCCTTACCTCACCTCATGTAACCTTATCAGTTTTATCTTTGCAAAAGGGAATTAGAGCTTTTGCCCTACAGATTAACGACAAAAGTCATAAAGCTTGGGTAGGGGAGAGATAAGGATAGGTTTGCATTCATACCTTAAAATATTCTCCACGCTTTCGTTGATAACGTCGTATGGTTAATTTAATTGCTTGACTTGGAAAGACTTAGGCCGAAAATCTGCTATTGGCCTAATAATTCTTTACACAAAGGTTTATGGGTCCTCTAAAACTCCAGTTGTTAGTAGTAATTGTTCTCAACATTTATATACCATTCATATTTACACTTTTATCTTGATATGAAATTTCAAGATGTTACATGACTTATGACATATATGAACCTTATCATTGTTATAACTTTATATCATGCTATGGCATTTGGTTACACTTTTTGATTGATATATGCATTGATTAGTCCATTTGCGTATTGGTAACAAGATTCTTTAATAAAAAAAGTGACAAAAAAAAAAAAAAAAAACCTGTGTTATATAATTTTGATGGATTGATTTTACATTGATTTAATGTCTGAGTAGTTATAAAATTTAGCTGTTCTTGCTGAATTTTGAATGTAAATTGACAATTTTTAACGAAGTTGTAAGTAAACATCCTATAGATCTATGTCTTATTGTCTAAAACCTCTACATCACATTCTATTCTAATGAGTCGTATTCGGTATCCAATTTCAATGTTCAGAATTGTTGTTTAAGTAGTTCTTTTTCCTTTAGCCACGAGTTTAGCTTTTACAAAGGTGATACTTTTAACTCTAGAGTTCCAAGTTTTGATTGTATATAGAGGTTTATAAAAACATTGTTCTTTGTTGTATAGTCTATTACGATACAGATTTCTATAATGGAATTTGCTTTGTAGTAGGAGAATTCCTAGTAGAACTCCTCATAGACGTACATTAAACCGTTTAGGATATGTATCATTACGGACCGTACACTTGTAATGGAAACTAAAGCAATGCAGGGGAAACGCCCTATCTTTATTTTCTTAGGTCCAAATGTCTCAAAATTAAGGAGTTTTAGGTATGCTACCAAAAAAAAAAAAGAGGAGTTTTGGGTAGAATGCACAAAAATCAGCTGGTGCCTGGCAATGTCATGAAAGAATGATTCAAATGCTGTCAACCCTTGTCAGTTGTCGTCATTACTCTCAATTATTGGAATGGTGTTCCTTTTGGGCCACCAAGATATGGGGGAGAAAAGAAAGGGAAAAAGGAAAGAAATCTACATGAAAATTGCAATTGCAATTGCAATTGCGGTGATCTCTATTCATGACATGCAATCCCCACCCAAGGTAGCTTCGAGGAACCATCCATTCTTTAGTGTCTACCAGTGCAGTTCATAAACTAATCCCAAAAAAAGGAGGAAAATAAGGGGGAATTTTAGGGGTTTTCTAGGATTGCAAAAGCTCATCTAAACCAGGAATTGCAGTCCACTCATCACTTAGCAATTGCATGCTGCAAATCTTATCTCTTGTAGTTTTCTTTTTCTTCCTTTATTTTTATTTTTATTTTTGTAACAGATTAATTGATTGAAATTTTATAAGGTAGAGGGGTATGAAAAAACAATGAAAGTTTAAACCTTAATCATATAAGCGAGAAAGTGCTTTTTTGCTAATGGTTTGTCTAATTATTCTATAGGCTTTTCTCATTTTATCTCTTGATGTTTAATTTCTTAAGAAAGTTAACATATAATCACTTATACAATCATTATAATTAATTATATTATACATTAATTTTCATGCCAAGAAAATTATTTTACTAAGCCAACCCATGCTGCTTTTTTTGTTGGCTACCCCAAATTCTTTTTGGAATTCAGGGCAACCAAATAGGCCCTCTTGAGAAAGTTAGAAACCAAACACACCCCAAAGTTAAATATGCACCAACAATAGTCATAACTTTTTTTTTTAATCAATTATTTGATTATATACCGTACAACAGAAAACAGTTCAAATAGGAAACCTTTACGTAGGCCAGTATAAACTCAGAGCAAGCGGGCAACAAGTTTACAAAAAGGAATTGTCATCCCATGTTGTACAACTTAAATCAATCTACCCGAAGAAAATAAAGGAAAAGCTAGCTCTCTTTCATTTTTTATTTTTTTAATTCCTTCATAATTCTCTACAGCTTAAATATGATACTTTTAACCTAAAATTCTTCGCATGCAAATCACTTAGTTTTTTTTGAATAGATTTTTACAAGGAGCTAGGTTTAAACCCCAGCTTTAGGGAGGGAGAGTGCACCATGGGTAACTATTGCCACTTAACCTGAAGGGGTCGGTGCATGCAAATCACTTAGATGTCCCAATATGACGCAAGGAATGTAATACTTTATCCCTACCATTGACAGCAATAAATCTTTGTTACTTTGATGATTTCATCGCAAAGAAATCGAAAAGCTGTCAGTGTTAAAAAAAAAGGAGGAGGGACGTTGTTAATTTTAGAATGCACTTAGAATACATGGGGACCCTATTTTCAAAATGCTTGTATAAAAAGAAGTGCAATGCAGGAAGAATCCAATCAACCTTTCCTCCTACATTAATATCTTTTTCCCATATGAATTATTGGAAGAAAATGTCCCTTCTGCGTTGAGGTCAATTTTTTATTTTTAATAGTTTAAATTTTTGATTTGATTTTTAAATTATTGTATAAAATTTTAATTTGATTTTTAAATTAAAA